TAACTGATTCAGCCATTGGGGTACCAAAGGCTTCGAGTGGAAGAAGGATTATCATCATCATGGGACTGGTATGTCGGAACGGAAGTGGGGTGAGCCTCCATTATTTCCTTTTGTTATATTTTCCATTTGCTATCTTACTTGGCAAATCTCCCTGGAAGGACTGACTGCCTGAAAGAAAGATTACTTCATTATTGTTATGATTAAGGTTTAACTACAGAATTAACTGTGTGGAATTGGTTTATGAATTTTGCAATTACTTTTAACGGATCAATAAAAGAATAGACAATGGAAATTATGGTTTCTAGCTAAAGTACAGGCTTATTTGTCTTGGAAGGAGATAAAACAAAGAAGTTCGGATACCGTATTTTTCCATCTATAAGACGCCCCCAAGTATAAGACTATTTTGGGGGACTCAGATTTAAGAAAATGGGGGGAAGACATTATTTTTTAGGGGGAAAACCTAGTCTTATACGCGGAAAAATACGGTATATGCCTGGTACAAATAGCGGAAAGCCAGATTTCCTCCATCTTGGGATGTCTTACAGTGGAATTTACAGGAGTGAGAAGTGAAAGTGAATTGCCACGGGCAGATTGTTGAAGTAGAAAGAGGTAAACAATGAAAATAAACATGAAGGATTTTTTCCCACACAGAATCATACTATATTGGTCTAAACCGCCTGCTAGACGAACTCAGAGGCTGTTAAAAACAAATGAAGGATCAATATCGGAATGTCTTATTGGAACTACCTGGACTAATTAAGAGAAGCAGCAAAATTGTGAGTGAGATCATTGCTCCCCGAACCTCAGAGCATGGGAAGTCAACCAAAGACTTATAATTTGGTATAAAATTTGGATCGTTCAATTATTTTATAATTTGGAATTTTTTAATGTGGCTTTTATTGGATTGTTAAAATGGAAAACTTAATAATTATTTTTTTTAATCTTGTCTTGTAAAAGGCCTTGAAAGCGTTGTTGCTTTCATGTAAACTGCCTTATGAACCTTCACAGAAAGGTGGGGTATAAATGCATTCATACAGGTGAAATGTGTTGAGGTTGAGGAAGAAGAGAGAAGGACCCACAACTCACCACGCTCTGGTAGCAAATTGGTCTCCGTTCATCTTGCAGGGCTGAGATGCCACAGTGGCAGGAGCTGTATCCTGCCACTCATAGGTCCCCTTGTATTTGGATGGCGGTGTGTGCTGAGAGCACATCTTTGGGTCTTGGAGCAAGAGCAGACAATGAGAGCCAATTCCACTGGACCCAGCCAATCCAGCATCCTTTCCCCCAACAACCTCCAGAGCATGAAGGCAAGAGCCCTTCCCCCTGTTTTGCTGCCCAGCAAACGAATAATCAGTGGGAGCCAGCTTCTAAAAGTGGAGATTCTAGCTGTCATGGCTGATAGCAGTTAGTCCAGCCCTGCATGCATTTGCCTTAACTCCCTTCTAAAACTGCCATTGCATCCACAGTATACTGCTATTGAATTGTATACAGTGGTACCTCTGGTTATGTACTTAGTTTGTTCTGGAGGTCCGTTCTTAACCTGAAACTGTTCTTAACCTGAAGCACCATTTAGTTAATGGGGCCTCCCACTACCGCCGTGCCGCCGCCGCCCAATTTCTGTTCTTATCCTGAAGCAAAGTTCTTAACCCAAGGTACTATTTCTCGGTTAGCGGAGTCTGTAACCTGAAGCATATGTAACTTAAAGCGTATGTAACCTGAAGCGTATGTAACCTGAGGTAGCACTGTATATACAACAGTGAATTTACCAGGCGATGGTAAAGAGATCTCTTCATATACAGTAGTACCTTGGTTCTCAAACTTAATCTGTTCCGGAAGTCCGTTCCAAAACCAAAGCTTTCCAAAACCAAGGTGCACTTTCCCATAGAAAGTAATGCAAAATGGATTAATCCGTTCCAGACTTTTTAAAACAACCCCTAAAACAGCAATTTAACATTAATTTTACTATCTAACAAGACCATTGTTCCACAAAATGAAAGCAATCATCAATGTACTGTACTATAAAATAAATAAGACAGCATTGTAGATGATAAAAATTAAAATTAATTTTTTTTCTTAATTGCACTGACGATAGCCATTCTTTGGATGGGGGGCTTTTATCCATTTCCACAGTCACACAATCAAGTAATCAGTAGCTGAACAGGGTTCCACAAATTAACCAAAAAAGCCTCAAAAACAAAAACGCAAAATAAATAGCAAAAACAAGTCCGTTTGACTTCCGAAATGTTCGAAAACCTAGGTGTGGCTTCTGATTGGTGCAGGCGCCCCAGAAACAATAGCTGATAGCTGCATCGGACATTCGGCTTCCCAAAAACCTTTGAGAAACGGAACACTTACTTCCAGGTTTTCAGTGTTTGAGAACTGAGGTGTTTGAGTACCAAGGCATTTGAGAACCAAGGTACCACTGTATATATACAACAGTTAATTTACCAGGAGATGGTAAAGAGATCTCTTCATACACAGAGATTTATATTGGCCGGGGCTCCGCTCACACCCACCACAATGAAAATTGCGTTTCCCTTTTCCTTTGAGGGCACAAAGTGCAAAATTGCAACCCAGCAATTCCTTTATTGGAGAGAGAGCCAACGGGGTGCAGAAACTGGCATGCTCACAACAGATGTTGTTCAACTGAGCCTTGAGGCCACAGACAGCCAGGTTCAAATCCCCTCCCAGCCACAAAGCTCACTGCGTCATCTTGCGCTGTTCACCATCTTTCAGCCTAGCCTACCGCGCAGGGTCATTTTAAGAACAGAAAACGGGAAACTGGGTGTGCTGTTTTGCGCTCCTTGGGGGCATAGCTGTCAACTTTTCCCTTTTCTTGCGAGGAATCCTATTCGGAGTAAGGGAATTTCCCTTTCGAAAAGGGAAACGTTGACAGCTATGCTTGGGGGAAGGTCAGGATTAAGAAACCACCATTTTCTGTTTTAGTAGTGTGCCACTTTCCCACAGAATTGTGCCCAAAATGGCTGACAGCAACAAACCAAACAAGCCTTCATTCTAACAACTATGTTCTCAGCAGGCATTTCAAAGAAGGTTTTTTGCCCCCTCGTTTTGTGCTTAACTTTTAACTGATTTCTGCTGTGTATTCCCTGTATTATAACCTCTCCTGCATTTCTGCTGTAAAGTGCTTGGAAGCTGAGGGGTTGAACAGTAGATAAAATTGCTAAACTGAAAAATGTACTAGAAGTAACCACCACAACAGTAAGTGAATACAGTGGTGCCTCTGGTTACGAACTTAATTCATTCCGGAGGACCATTCTTAACCTGAAACCTGAGGTACCACTTTAGCTAATGGGGCCTCCCGCTGCCACCACACGATTTCTGTTCTCATCCTGAGGTAAAGTTCTTAACCCGAGGTACTACTTCCGAGTTAGCAGAGTCTGTAACCCAAAGTGTTTGTAACCCGACGTACCACTGTACACACACACACACACACACACACACACACAATATCAATCAATCAATCAATCAATCAATCAATCAATCCATGCAACACTGTATGACACAGCACAAATAAGCCAACCTCGATTTAACAGCTTAAATCTGATGGATACATTACCTAAGTAAACAACGGCGACATCTTTAGATTCCATTGAAAGAGGCTTCTCAGTATGACTGCCATTCAAGGCAACCTGTAACCTTCTCCTGATGTTTTCTCTGGGTTGGGCAGATGTGGCCTTGATGACAGACTTTGAGGAAAAGCTGAAAGCACAATAGACAGACAGACAGACAGACACTTGCACTTTGTATTGGGGTTCAAGCTTGGCATCTCTTTCCAATACAGACTTCTACCTTTGCCCCTAAGCCAGGCCAGAGAGCATTTCCCTCATTTCTGAAGACACAAAGGGAACCCTCACAGATCAGGGATCAGGGGAGGTTCTTCTGGCTCAGAGGATGCCCAGTCGATCAATCATTTATTATACAGTCACAAGGGCATTAAGCTCAAAGGGTGTTGTTGCCAACGAACGTCCCGTCAGCGTCTTTGTCTAGAAATGGTGAAACTGCAACCCAAGCTGGGGCAGCCTTCCACCAGCACTAACACACTAATGATGGAGCTGGTTTGGGAAAGGAGGAGGAGCGTCTCTCATAACTTCCAAGGGGCTTTAACAGGGTTTTCACATTAAGTCCTTTCCGAAGGTTGGTTCCAGTATGTATCTGAGCACAATTCAAAGTGTTGGTGCTGACCTTTAAAGCCCTAAACGGCCTTGGCCCAGTATACCTGAAGGAGCGTCTCCACCCCCATCGTTCAGCCCAGACACTGAGATCTAGCTCTGAGGGCCTTCTGGCGGTTCCCTCATTGCAAGAAGTGAGATTACAAGGAACCAGGCAGAGGGCCTTCTTGGTAGTGGCGCCTGCCCTGTGGAACACCCTCCCACCAGATGCCAAAGAAGTAAACAACTATATGACATTTAGAAGACATCTGAAAGCAGCCCTGTTTAGGGAAGTTTTTAATGACTGATGTTTTAATGTATTTTTAATCTTTTGTTGGAAGGTGCCCAGAGTGGCTAGGGAAACCCAGCCAGATGGGCGGGGTAGAAATATTATTATTATTATTATTATTATTATTATTATTATTATTATTGAACCACCCCCTCTTCATCAACATGCCACTTCCTGGAAGCATTTGTGGCACGTTCCTAAGCGCTTGACATTACATGGGTTAATGGTGAGGCCTGTGGCAACATATCCCAGAATCCTCAGCAATGTGCATGTAGATTCTGCAGCATGAGTGCAGTGAATGTGCAAATCACTTTCCGGAGGCAGAAAGTATAGAAACAACTACTTGAGGAAAATGAACAGCCTACCTTTCAGGACCCTGCTTCTCATCTCTCTTCAGTTCACAATATGCAAAGTACCGGTAAAAAAAATCAAATCAAAAAGAGGCGATTACTAAGGAATGATATCTTAAGTGCAAGAGCTCAATCAAGATGATTTGGCAGAAGAAAGGCAGCTGATTAGCTCATACTTGTTGCAATGAAATATTCTAACGTCAATTGCCCTCCATGTGCCATGAATGCCTTTGGCACGACACCATGTTTTTCTGACATCACACGGCATTTTGAGTAGTCCCTTAGTTTGACTGTTAAATGCTCTGATAATTGCCTTCAGCAGTTTTTCACTCTGTGATGAGGAAAAACTGAAAGTCACTCAGCTCTCCTGGAACATTTGGAGCAATTTAAAGCAATTTCAGGTTTCTTGGATACAGGAAATCTCAAAAGGGTGACTTTGGGGGTTGGGGGGAGGAACAGCCAGTTCTGAAAAATGGATGCACCTGAGGAGGGGAAAGGGAGATTCTACGAAGCAAACAAAAACCAAAACCATTTATATTGTTACAAGATTGGGGCCAGGGGTCAGTCTGGATTATATCTGTGGATTCCTTCAGGGCCTGCTACTCTAGTTTAGAATCTAGCAGAAAAGGCTGCTGAACTGGTCAGACCATTTTCTTTGTAAGATGATGACTTTAGCTGTCTAGTTAAGTACCACCATTGACATGTCCAAAGAGGCTGCTCTGTTGCCATAGAGACAAATGGAGGCAGGCATAGAGACAACAGGCAGGATGCCACATTATCCTAGGATGGAGAATAGACCAAGGGGACCTGTGTGTTAGTGAGTTTTGGCTGATGCTGGAAGCAGGGTATACAGGGGCTTGTATTGCTCTGTGCTAGACCCAAAGCTGGACTCGGGGCTTCCCTGGAAATCTAATGCAGAACCAAGATCTGTTGGGGTGTTAATGCTGTGACCCCTCCATTCTACAGTCAGTTTGTATATAGGTGGAGATTAAACCATATATCTTAAAGACACCACAATCTCCAATGCCCTTCATTGTAAGTAAACAAATTCTGAAAAGGCGCAGGCATCCCCGAAGTCTCTCACCATTCAAGAGAATGGAGTGAGCACAATAATATTTCCAATATTTGAGATGTAGGCCAGAGAATATTAAGCATGCTTAAATTCCACTGGAAACCAAGAAGACAGTTTCCAGTAAGCTCCAAAGCAGACATTACAATGGATGCAAGAACGGTCTTAACCACTCAACTCCTTCTCAGCGTATGGATTTCTGACGGAAAGGCATCACTCACACACAAAAGTTGAGCTATCAGCAGGCTTGGGAGAACTTCAAAGTCTGCAGAAGCACAAAAGGTATTTGTGGGGGGAACCCTAAAAGGGAGGAGGCAATATTCCATAACAACCCAGTGGGAACCAACATTATTCAGAGAGCATGGTCTGCTGCTTGACTGCGGGAGGAGAGAAAAATGGTCCATCTTGTATCTCCAAAAATACCTGGCATGACATCATCGTGCTCAGAGGTGCCTTGCCTTGATACGCACGCACACACCTTCCTCATCACTGGCAGGCAAGGGAATTCTGAGCATGATGACATCACACCACCCAACTTCTCTAGGTAGGCAGATGTTACTGAAAAGAAAGGCAGTGCTGCTACTCTTGGTAGTAACCACATGACTTGCAAAATCACCATATTTTTCGCTCTATAAGACGCACCAGACGCAAAGCGGGAAGAGAAACAGAAGGGGCGCCGTTTCTCCACCCACTTTGCTGAAGGGGCACTGCGCAGCTTTCCCTCTCTGCGTAACTCCTCTTCAGCACTGAAGAGGCGCTGTGCAGAGAGGGAAAGCTGCGCAGAGCCTCTCCAGCGAAGCGAAGTCAGAACAGCAAGAGGGATTGCTACACAGCAAAAGAAGCAATCCCTCTTGCTGTTCTGGCTTCTGGGATAGCCTGCCAAGCCTCTTCAGGGCAGGGGGAGCGTTCCTCCTGTTGCCCTGAAGAGGCTTCGCACGGCTATCCCTGAAGCCAGGAGAGCGAGAGGGATCGGTGCGCAGCCTGCATTCGCTCCATAAGACACACACACATTTCCCCTTACTTTTTAGGAGGGGAAAGACGCGTCTTATAGAGCGAAAAATACGGTAGTTCCAAGTCCGAGTAGGTTTAAGATGGCCTTTGCAACTCCCATGATGCCTTGCCATTGTCCACTCTGGCTGGGGCTGATGGGAGTTATAGTTCCAAACACCTGGAAAGCAGCTGTGTGAGGAAGCATCATGTCTCCGCTGTGGCTACTGTTGGCCCATAGTTGATGGCAATGGAAGTGGCAGAGAATTAAAGACAGCTTGAATTGTTCTGGACCAGTTGCGTAAAAGATTATATGCCACCGTTGTTTATCTTTGCATAATGTACAAAAGCAAGACATGTTTACCATTAAACCTCCTCAAACCAGTTGCCATGGCGCATCCTTTGCTGCTGCCATGGCAATCCCCCCTTCAGGCGCCAGAACTCCGTGAGAACTAATTTCCTAAAAGCATGAGATGCAAAGAAGAGATTGAAGAAAAGAGGAAAACAACACCCAAGTGACTCTTTTACGTAAGAAGGAGAAAGGGGAAGAGGCTTTGTGCAAACTATGGGGCATAAAATGCATACATACCCCAGTTCTCATGCGCTCCCTCCTTTGTGGAATAGGGACTCTGGATCAAAAAGCAGTGAGGGTGGGGGGAACAAAACAGACAAAAACAGGAAAAAAGAGGCAAACATCAATATGGGAGGGGAGGACGCTCAGCAACCCTGCATGGTATTATGGGTTGGGTGTATGTGTCCAGTCTAGATGAAACTCTGGGTTCCTTCCAAAACCTGTGATCTATATCTGTGAGGCTAGGGTGTATGAGGGAACCTGGTGGAGCAGCCAAACTAGTCCCTTTGTGAAGGCAATGACCATGGGTCGGCAGACTAAGGCACACGGGCCGGATCAGGCCCAATTGCCTTCTGGATCCGGCCTGTGGATGGTCCGGGAATTGCCACGTGGATCGGCAGCGCGCTCGTTCTTTCCCTATCCTTCCTTCGGCGGCGGTGGCAGCGGCTCCTCCCTCCCTCCTCCTGGCTTCTTTCTGCCCTGCCTAGAGGAGGAAGGGGGCTGGCCTCTGTTGGTGCCAGCAGCAGCAGCCCTCCAGCGACCACCATTTTAAGCAGGGTTGCCTTCAGATGTCTTCTAAAAGTTTGGTAGTTGTTGTTCTCTTTGACATCTGGTGGAAGGGAGTTCCACAGGGCGGGTACCACTACCGACGCTCCTTCAGGTATACTGGACCAAGGCCATTTAGGGCTTTAGGGCTTTGTTCTTGCATCATTCTCCTCCCCAAAAATATAGTCTGCCCCCCCACAAGGTCTGAGGGACAGTGAACCAGCCCCCTGCTGAAAAAGTTTGCTGACCCCTGGCAATGACCTTAGCTGCTCAGCTAAGCACCAGACACCTGCATCTTAAAAGCGTCGGTTCCATCTTAAATGAGTGAGCTCCATGGAAACACTGCCCTCCTCCCCATCCTGCTCACCTGGCTGATATATGTGGCATATTCTTACCCTCACAACAACCCTGAGAGGTAGGTTAGACTGCTGAGAGGCAGTGATGGGTCCCCAAGGTCACCAGGTGAGCTTCAGGGCTGAGTGGGGATTTAATCTCCTGTCTCCTGATCACTACACCACCCTGGATCAGAGACAGCAGATCCTAGAGGAGAACTCTCTCTCCCCCCCTGGAATATAGTACTGTATTGCCCATACTGCTGCTCCTTAGTAATGCGAGTTTTTAGTCTGGTTTTAAATGTATTCTTGCTAACCACCTATTCCTACATTTGATAAGAGTGGCAGAAAGCAAAACAACCAAACAGACAAAATACTCACCGAGCGTTTGCCTTGATGTTATGGTTTGTAACAACAAATTCAGGACCACGGAATAAACTCATCAACTGTAGGAGAGAGAAAAAGTTAACTACAGTTTGCTTCCCTGGGTAAAAATTGTTCAGCATTTTGTCTAACGATGGTGATCCTCTGTGAAAAGCCAACCATTTAACATTGCGGTAGTAGCTGCCTAAAAGAGCTGATTGCTGCTAATCCCTTGAGCTTGCCCCACAACTATGAACGAATACACCCACCCCAGAACAGACCCCTAAGCCTTCACACATAGTGGTGCACATACATGGCAAATGCTGTTCTGTAATTAAGTCTTCCACTTGCAGAATGTAGTTTTCCCTCACTCTCCTTCCCCTGTGTGTGCCCCCTGCCTGCCCCAAATCTGCTCCAGTGGGTTGAGGGAACCCCTAAACCAAATGGGGGGCAGGCCTGCAGGGTCGCCAGGGGGAATAGGGGCAGAGGAAGTTCTGTTGGGCGAGTGGAAGCCATCCCACCAGGGCAATAGCTGAGTGCTAGATGAAAACCAGAGGCCTATAGTTTGGGTTATGGAAGTGAGAGCTGGACCATAAAGAAGGCTGATCGCCGAAGAATTGATGCTTTTGAATTCTGGTGCTGGAGGAGACTCTTGAGAGTCCCATGGACTGCAGGAAGATCAGACCTATCCATTCTGAAGGAAATCAGCCCTGAGTGCTCCCTGGAAGGACAGATCCTGAAGCTGAGGCTCCAATACTTTGGCCACCTCATGAGAAGAGAAGACTCCCTGGAAAAGACCCTGATGTTGGGAAAGATGGAGGGCACAAGGAGAAGGGGAGGACAGAGGACGAGATGGTGGGACAGTGTTCTCGAAGCTACAAACATGAGTTTGATCAAACTGCGGGAGGCAGTGGAAGACAGGAGGGTCTGGCATGCTCTGGACCAGGGGGTCACAAAGAGTCGGACACGACTAAACGACTAAACAACAACATAGTTTGGGTTGACTTTGTGCTCCACTTTCTGTATGGTGGAATTGATTATAATCTGCTAACATGTAACATGTGTTCAGGGATGGGCAAGAGAAGAATTAGTACTCACCCAGTTTGTTGAGAGCTTCTTAACATCATAGTAATCAAATGTCTCTGGAGGATTGGAGAACACAGAGAAGTTCATCTGGATGTTATAGAACGTTACTGAAACAAGAGAGGAAGGAGAATTACATCCACATTGAATTTCGCAAGCGACTTTTCCTACACATCATTGTTTGTGGGGAACACAGCTATTTTTTGGGAAGTGGGCATTTAATCTGCTGAATGCAAAGCTGTGGCTGATGCCCTGAGATGGTGGTTTTGCGTATGCTGTCCCCCCAGCGGTTCCTTTCACTTATCTCTCCTTATTGCTCTCAGACTTTTTTGTTAAGTAAATGGATGAGAAAGACGAAGAAAGTGATATTTAGGATGGGCTTCTTTTCTGAAGTCTTGGGCAATTATGGGCTACAGAAAGCTCAAATATTTTTGCTCTCCAGAGTTTAGTAGGCTTGTATCTATGTTATCCAAGAACTGCAGCTACCAGTCAAGTCCTCTATTATTCAACTGCCCTTCAAATCATGGAATCACCACAGCTTCACACTTGTACACATTAATCGTCTCCAAATAATAGGAGAACATCCATATTCGCTTCTTCTAATGTGCTGCTTACTGCATTGCTAATGGCTGACTGTGATTGCGCGGAGTGGAATGACGTATTAATTCTCCTGCTACTAAGAACTCTCCTGGAAAGGTCTCCCAAATATTTTGTAGTGTTGGGGGTTGGCAGTTGGCAAGGATCCCCTAAAATTCCTGAGTGCCAGGTTCTCCCCATAATTTCTGAAATCGGTAAATGTCAAGCCTGTTTCCCAGGACCTTGGCTTAGAGAGGCATCATCAGAGGTGATGGCAGACTCATTACTTTGACAAAAGGTGGGACATTCAGCTTTAGATATGAAGAGGAGGGCAGTCCCTCCTCCAGCTGTATGTTAATTAGCAAAAGACAATAGCAGAGTTAAGTGCTGGTTAAGTGCCATGGGACGTGGCTGGCGCTGTGGTCTAAACCACTGAGCCTAGGGCTTGCAGATCGGAAGGTTGGCGGTTCAAATCCCCGTGACGCCAGCTCCTGCCCACCTAGCAGTTCGAGAGCACATCAAAGTGCAAGTAGATAAATAGGTACTGCTTCATGTGCTGCTCTGGTTTCGCCAGAAGCGGCTTAGTCATGCTGGCCCCGTGACCCGGAAGCTGTACGGCGGCTCCCTCGGCCAGTAAAGCAAGATGAGCGCCACAACCCCAGAGTCGTCCGTGACAGGTTCCTTTATGTTTACCTTTAAGTGCCAAGACCCCTGTTATGGGGTGGCCTTAATAGTATTATTCTGCTTAAGGAATCTTTTCTCCTTTTGCCACTGAGAAGGTTGCAAAAAAAATTATCACTTCAGTGAAGATAAGGAAAAATTTTCTGTTGGACTGTGAGGGGTTTTTGGTAGCATGAGCTGAGTTTACCCACATTAAGTTTTATTTTAGTTTTCTCCCCCCCCCCCATTTATTTTGCAATATTACATTCAATTACATCCTTAATCATTCTTTGCAATACATACTATATCTATCTATCTATCTATCTATCTATCTATCTATCTATCTATCTATCTATCTATCATCTATCTATCTATCTATCATCTATCTATCATCTATCTATCATCTATCTATCTATCTATCTATCTATCTATCATCTATCTCTATCTATCTATCTATCTATCTATCTATCTATCTATCTATCATCTATCTATCTATCATCTATCTATCTATCATCTATCTATCTATCATCTATCTCTATCTATCTATCTATCTATCTATCTATCTATCTATCTATCTATCTATCATCTATCTATCTATCTATCTATCTATCTATCATCTATCTATCTATCTATCTATCTATCTATCTATCTATCATCTATCATCTATCTATCTATCTATCTATCTATCTATCTATCATCTATCTATCTATCATCTACCATCTATCATCTATTTTCCGTTGTGACTACCCTCCACCTGTGCTCAGCTTCCATTGTTTTTCATTCCTTTAATATTACGTTAAAAAAAGTTATTTACATATTCCCCATTAATCCCTTTTCATCTTTTAACCTTAACTTTATGAACTTCAGTCAATGCATATCAATAAATTTGTTTTGGAACAATGTTTTGTCATGTATTCTTCCACACATTCCCCTTCTTTTCCTAATTTCTGATTTGATTGGAATCTAATAGCTGCTGTCATTTTGGACAATTCAATGAATTCACAAAGCTTGTACTGCCACTCTGCTACTGATGGAATCTTGTCCCCTTTCCAGTTTTTAGCTATTAGCAATCTGGCAGCAGCTGTAGCATATAAAAACACTTTTTTATTGTGACTAGGGGTGTCTTTTGAAACTAAGCCTAATAGAAACGCTTCTGGTTTTTTCTCAAATGATGTTTTAGACATCTTTTTTAATTCTTCATGAATATTGCTCCAGAATTTTTAAATTTTCCCTCATCCCCCCACACGATACATTGTTCCCTCTCCCTCATGACATCTCCAACACTTACTTGATTTTAATTTGTATATTTTGACTAGTCTGACGGGAGTCATATACCACCTGTACATCATCTTCATCTGGTTTTCTCTAATTGTGTAACAGGCAGTAAACTTAATATCTTGCTGCCACATTAAGTTTTAATGTAAATCCCATCTATTACCTGAATCTGGCATGGTTCCTGTGGGTGCTGGTGTAGACCAAAAAGTCTCCAGCGTGGTCTTGGCATTTATATCAATGGTTGATGCTTTCGATTCAGTGATAAGTTTTGTATTGGTAAGATGAGGAACAGATACGGTTTCAGAAGCCTGATGTGTCGCCCCATCGTATCTAGAGGTTGAAGAAACTTGGGTAGGTTTGGAGGTGGGCACAGTCCAGGTGCTTTTGGGAGCTGTCTCAGCATACTGAGAAGTTGGTATGTACCAGGTGGGTTGAGTTGCGACGCCCGGAGGGGTAGCTCCATCGGGTCGAGAGGTGGATGCAGTCAACTCCTGTTGATGTGTTGTTCCATCTCTGTCAGAGGTTGGTATTTTCACATAAGAGTTAGAAGGAACCCCATCAGCTGCTGATGTTGTTGGTTCTGCTTTGGGTGTGGCTTCATCAGACCTGGAAGGAGACACTGTCCATTTGGTTTTATAACATTATAATAATACAGTGGTACCTCAGGTTACAGACGCTTCAGGTTACAGACTCGGCTAACCCAGAAATAGTACCTCAGGTTAAGAACTTTGTTTCAGGATGAGAACAGAAATCGTGCTCTGGCGGCATGGCAGCAGCGGGAGGCCCCATTAGCTAAAGTGGTGCTTCAGGTTAAGAACAGTTTCAGGTTAAGAACAGACCTCTGGAACGAATTAAGTACTTAACCAGAGGTACCACTGTAATTTATACCCCACCCATCCGGCTTGGTTTTCCCAGCCACTCTGGGTGGCTCCCAATCGGGTATTAAAAACACAATACAGCATTAAACATTAAAAGCTTCCCTAAACAGGGCTGCCTTCAGATGTCTTCTAAAAGTAGGATAGTTGCTTATTTCCTTGACATCTGATGGGAGGGCATTCCATAGGGCAGGCGCCACTACCAAGAAGGCCCTCTGCCTGGTTCCCTGTAACCTCACTTCTCGCAGGGAGGGAACCGCCAGAAGGCCCTCAGAGCTGGACCTCAGTGTCTGGGCTGAATGGGGGTGGAAACGCTCCTTCAGGTATACAGGACAGAGGCCAGGACAGAGGCCATTTAGGGCTTTAAAGGTCAACACCAACACTTTGAATAGTGCTCAGAAATGTACTGGGAGCCAATGTAGGTCTTTGAGGACCGGTGTTATGTGGTCTTGATGGCCACTCCCAGTCACCAGTCTAGCTGCCACATTCTGGATTAGTTGTAGTTTCCGAGTCACCTTCAAAGGTAGCCCCACGTAGAGTGTGTTGCAGTAGTCTAAGCAGGAGATAACCAGAGCAGGCACCACTCTGGCGAGACAGTCTGCAGGCAGGGAGGGTCTCAGCCTGCGTACCAGATGGAGCTGGTAGACAGCTGCCCTGGACACATAATTGATCTGTGCCTCCATGGTCAGCTGTGAGTCCAAAATGACTCCCAGGCTGTGTGCCTGGTACTTCAGGGGCACAGTTACCCCATTCAGGACCAGGGAGTCCTCCACACCAGCCCGTGAAGGAACAGTCCCAGAAGAGATCCATGGAAGACCATCGTCCAGAAGTGTGACTGCAGACTTAGAGGTTGTTGCTAAAGAAGACAGAGGTACAGTTACAACCACATTAGAGTTGGCTCAGGATTTCAATGAGTCTCAGGAGGCCCAATAGGAAATGTGGTAGAAGCTGTACTGGGGTCCTTGATAACTACAACTGTGGTTTCCAGGGTAGCATTTCCAGTGGGAATGAACATCTTGAAATACATGTCATCTCTGTCACTCTACAAGACCCACTCAAATCTGATGGCTTCAGCTGTTTCGGAAGGAAGGTTCAGAAACACGCCATATTCTGAATTGAATCTACTTGTCCTTGTGTTCTAAAACAGGGTGACAATCTTGTACATTATATATATATATATATATATATATATATATATATATATATGCTTTCGTAGATTTTCACGGGTACAGGAATGCAGGTTTTGGTGTCCTCGGGTGTCTTCCCGTGTAAAAGTTGGGGTGTCTAGGCGACGTTTCGACGAGGTCTCACTCGTCATCTTCAGGCTGGTGCTTTCGGCTTCTTGTTACTGGAACAGAGCAGGATCTCAGTGTTTGAGTTCCTATAAATACTGTTGAGGGGGTGTGGTGTATAGCCTCCAATGTTCTGGGCAGAGAGGAAGTTCCCAGGCTAGTGTGCCTTTTCTTCTTTTGTTCCTTAATTACTTGGGGGATATCTTGAGTGATTTCTTGAGTGATATCCTGAGTACCACTTAGGTGGGTCATTAGGTGTGGATTAGTTGCTAAAGCCTTCGTGTCTTGACCTCTTGAACTTTGTGAAGAGTTTTTCTGAGAAGATGGCTGTACTGCATTTAGTTGTGCTCTGGCTTGGCTTCGTGTATAGGGGCGAGCTGTGGTTTTGTGTCCTGTGCCAGCCAGATCTGTGCCAGCCTGCAATCCCTACACAGATCTGGCTGGCACAGGACACAAAACCACAGCTCGCCCCTATACACGAAGCCAAGCCAGAGCACAACTAAATGCAGTACAGCCATCTTCTCAGAAAAAACTCTTCACAAAGTTCAAGAGGTCAAGACACGAAGGCTTTAGCAACTAATCCACACCTAATGACCCACCTAAGTGGTACTCAGGATATCACTCAAGAAATCACTCAAGATATCCCCCAAGTAATTAAGGAACAAAAGAAGAAAAGGCACACTAGCCTGGGAACTTCCTCTCTGCCCAGAACATTGGAGGCTATACACCACACCCCTCAACAGTATTTATAGGAACTCAAACACTGAGATCCTGTTCTGTTCCAGTAACAAGAAGCCGAAAGCACCAGCCTGAAGATGACGAGTGAGACCTCGTCGAAACGTCGCCTAGACACCCCAACTTTTACACGGGAAGACACCCGAGGACACCAAAACCTGCATATATATATATATATACACACACACACACACACACACACACACACAGTATATATATATTGCTCTTTACATAATGCATTGAGAGAGCGATACTTGGGACAATTTTTTTATCTATGCCAGGCAAGAGAAATATGCAACTTTAGAAAACTGGGCATTTTTAAATTTGTGATAACTGATGAGAGGAGAATATTATCAAGAGAATTTTATTATTTTATACATTTTTGTTAGCTACCTTGGATGATTCAACAGCTTTGAGATGATGATGATGATGATTTTACTACAATCAATTGGTATATAATGTATTTTGTGATATAAATAAAAAGTGGATATAAATTTAGCAAATAAATAATCCTAAGAAGACCCAGCCAGGGTCCTGCTATCTCCCTGTAAAGCAGGACTCGGGACTGGGCCCACCGTCCTCCAGATGCCGCCAGACTCCAACTCCCATCAGCCCTGACCATTGGCCATGCTGGGTGCAGGGGATGATGGGAGTTGGAGCCCAACACCTGCAGGGCCACAGGTTCCCTGTCCAGGGCCAGCTGCCCATGAGGAAAGATTTTAACCCGGACCACCCCATTCTATTCGCTACGTACCTGTGACTGAGGGATCAGGGGCTTTGCTTGTCAGTGGTGGAGCTAAAGATGTATAGTTAAAGTCACGTGACCCTGTTGAAGAGAGGGAGAAATGCACAGAGACGTATAAACACAAGATTGAGAAATGCATAAATACGAATAAAGACAGGGTTCACCAATACACCATTCACATGGATCCAACTCTTTGAAAATACCAAGATCTTGGAGTTTGAGTAATAGGTTAATGAAAGAATGCTTTTAGATATCTCTGGAGCCTGACTCTGGTGCAGGAGAGGAGGACAGTGTCATCTGCATATAAAATATGGGAACTGCCTTAGGTCCTAACCTAGGAGGGTGGCCATTCACAACAGGTAGATGTTTCGCGGGTGGCCTAGGACTTGCTGATCAGAAGGTCGGCGGTTCGAATCCCCGTGATGGGGTGAGCTCCCGTTGCTCAGTCCCTGCTCCTGCCAACCTAGCAGTTCGAAAGCACGTCAAAGTGCAAGTAGATAGATAGATACTGCTCCAGCGGGAAGGTAAATGGCATTTCCGTGCACTGCTCTGGTTCGCCAGAAGCGGCTCCACGACCCGGAAGCTGTACGCCAGCTCCCTCGGCCAGTAAAGCGAGATGAGCGCTGCAACCCCAGAGTCGGCCACGCCTGGACCTAATGGTCAGGGGTCCCTTTACCTTTACCTAGATGTTTCATGTCATTCAAAAATAGATTAAATAGGTGCGGGGCAAGAATACAGCTTTCTCTGGCAGGGAGTTGTTGAGGAATAAAATCCCACAGCTTGAACCCCCTACAAGTTCCCTGAGGGCCATTTCCCGTGATGCTCATGAAAGGGCAGAGCTGCCTTTCGGTGAACAGCAACAGGACCTTCAGAGGGGCTCTTATCTGCTGGCCAGTCATGCGCTCCAATAAATTCAGCCACCTGCTTGTTGTTCTCCTCCTTTGTCCTCATTCCCCATTATCTGTTCCAGGTACTATCAGCTTTTCATAAATTTCAGGTTGTCAAAAAGCAGCCATAAAAGGCAAAGGAGGAAATTTATAGCTTGTGCAGAAGTTCCCACACGCCATAGCAGAGATTTCGCACGGCAGATTAATAAATAAAGCTTTACCGCTCTGTCTCCAGCCAGGATCTCAAAAGCTTGGTCAGAGAACTTGTCCACCTGGAGTTAGGTGGGTTTGCACTGGCCTGTCTCCCCATTGACATAGTGACGTACACCCCACCCTAGTGTTGTCCCAAGGCTCATCCCCCCACCCTGCTTGAATTAGGGTTTTGAAAAAAATCCTGGCTATTTTGGATTTCCCAAGGATTAACACACCCCCCCCCCATAAAGTTGTGATTCCTGCATTGCAGAAAGTTGGACTAGACGGTGTTTGGGATCCCATACAATTCTATGGTTCTGTGATATGATTCTAAAGGGTGGAAGATCTGGGATAGTGCTGGCATGGGAAGGGAAATTCCTCTACACTGATGGGGAGGCGGGCTGGTGTGAATCTACCTTCTGCTCCAGTGCAGACAAACCTCTAGATAACAAAGCATTGGGTTGATGCTACCAGCCATCAAAGGATGGGGAACAAGAGGCCAGAGCAGTCTGTGCTTGAGAGTTTTGGCTGATGCTGGAAGCTGGAGAGACAAAGGCTTGTCTTGCTCTGTGTGCTGGACCCAAAGCTGTGGCTTGAGGATCTCCCTGGGAATCTAATGGGAAACAAGATCTGCTGTAGGATTAATGCTGTGAGCCCTTCCATCCCATGCTCAGGTTGTAAAGGTAAAGGTAAAGAACCCCTGACCATTTAGTTCAGTCGTGGCCGACTCTGGGGTTGTGGCGCTCATCTCACTCTATAGGCCGAGGGAGCTGGCGTTTGTCCACAAACAGCTTCCGGGCCGGAGCGGTACCTATTTATCCACTTGCACTTTGACGTGCTTTTGAACTGCTAGGGTGGCAGGAGCAGGGACCGAGCAACGGGAGCTCACCCCGTACATATGGGCAAATAACACTATATACCCTAAAGACGGACGCAGGTGGCACTGTGGGCTAAACCACAGAGCCTAGGACTTGCTGATCAAATCGTTGGTGGTTCGAATCTCTGTGACTGGGTTAGCTTCCTTTGCTCGGTCCCTGCTCCTGCCAACCTAGCAGTTCGAAAGCACATCAAAGTGCAAGAAGATACATAGGTACTGCTCCAGCGGGAAGGTAAACGGCATTTCCGTGCGCTGCTCTGGTTTGCCAGAAGCGGCTTAGTCATGCTGGCCACATGATCCGGAAGCTGTACGCCAGCTCCCTCGGCCAATGAAGCGAGATGAGCGCCGCAACCCCAGAGTCGGTCACGACTGGACCTAATGGTCAGGGGTTCCTTTACCTTTTTTATCCTAAAGACACCATAGTCTCCGCCAGCCTTCATTCCGAGGAAACTGAAACCTGGGTGAGCGCAGGCAGCCCTGGGGTCTGCTGAGGCTCAGACATTGAGGTGTGTGCGTGAAAACGTATTGTTCATAATGATGGGCTCAAGCAAGATGGAGGTGGCTGCTGCACAGGCTCTGTTGGCACGATACTCACCACAATCTTGGCGATGGTCCGACTCAAGTGTTGCGCCGTTCAAGGACCAGTAATCGCCTTCCCAGCTAACAACATCTCCAGAGGAACACTTCTTCATCTGCTGCTCCTCCAGCACGGAACTCCACATTTGGAAATAATGCAGGGTGCCCACGAAGCGGATGTCTTCAGCCTGCTTCTTGGGGAGGCAGCCAATCACAAAAGTCCCACGAGGCTTCAGGTACTTGCGGCTGAGCTCAGGGAGCTCCTTGCTCATCATCCTGCCCCCGTCATGGAAGACCTCGAGCAAGCTCTTGTTCCCGTCCCACACACAGCACATCTGGTGCATCTTGGGGACCAGGAGATCTTTCCCCAAATCAACCAGGGTGCCGAAAAGGGACATTTGCAGGGTATAGTTATTGGCAAACAAAGCCAGCTCCACATCTTTGGGGTCCCTGGAGGAACTGCTGATGTCATAAGAAAAGGCCGCCCAAGTGCCCACACTATTATTGGTCTTGTTCAGATAGATGCACACGGTAAATATGTGCAAGCCTTGGGCAACGCGGCCGGCCAAGGAGGGGTATTTCTGTGTCTGTCCAGACAGGACCAGTTGCTTTCCTTTCAGAGAAGCAGCTTCTGTTCATGACATGGGTAGCAAGAGAAATAAGAGAAGAGAATGAGGACATTTTTCAAACAATCCATCAGCTGCATAGCCTAGCCTTCCCTAAGCCGGTGCCCTGAATGTATCGACCAGCAACCTGCACCAGCCCCAGTCAGCACAACCCCAATCCGTTCAGAAGTTTTTAAGATTAAGCACTATATAAATCCTTTTAAATAAAATATGTAGACTATCTGGAGCACACTTGGCTGGTGTGTGTGTGTGTTCTAGGGCAGCCAGCGATTTTTTACAGAGATCTGCGACTGTTGAAATATGAAGCATAACAAAATAAAAAAATTAAAATGTTGCACAATACAAATGTAGTGACTGAAGTGCAAAAAAAAAAAGGTACTTTCACATAAACTCTGAACTGGAGGTGATGGACCAGGAAAGAGACTCTGGGGTTATAGTAGGTGGCTTACTGTTGACTGCCACTTTCATAATGCTATTTTACAAATCTATGATGTGACCCCTTTTGGAATATACTGTGTACAGTGGTACCTCGGGTTACAGACGCTTCGGGTTACAGACGCTTCAGGTTACAGACTCCGCTAACCCCGAAATAGAACCTCAGGTTAAGAACTTTGCTTCAGGATGAGAACAGAAATCGCGTGGCGGCGGCAGGAGGCCCCATTAGCTAAAGTGGTATCTCAGGTTAAGAACAGTTTCAGGTTAAGAACGGACCTCTGGAACCAATTAAGTTCTTAACCCGAGTTACCTCTGTACTGTGTTCTGTTTGCGTCGTCTCAAAAAGGGTCTTGTGGACTTAGAAAAGGTCCAGTAAAGGGCACCCCCAAAAATGATCAAGGGGATACTGTGATCCTTTGTGGGAACCGCCCTGAGGGTATAGGGCGGTATATAAATCCAATAAATAAAAAATAAAAATAATCATTCCTCCACAAAGTCCTTCTTCATGCAGTACAGAGTTAAATTATGGAATTCCCTCCCCCAGGAGGTTGTGATGGTCAACAACTTGGATGGCTTCAAAAGGGGGTTGGACAAATTCACAGAGGAGATTCAGCCCCTTCATGGCTCCTTCCCAGGAGGGCTCTGCTCTGCCTCTGCACTCGGAGGCAGCTGGAAGCCGCCGGAGAGAGAAAGCTTCTAGTTGCTTAAGAAGAAGAGTTTGGATTTGATATCCCGCTTTATCACTACCTGAAGGAGTCTCAAAGCAGCTAACATTCTCCTTTCCCTTCCTCCCCCACAACAAACACTATGTGAGGTGAGTGGGGCTGAGAGACTTCAAAGAAGTGTGACTGGCCCAAGGTCACCCAGCAGCTGCATGTGGAGGAGCAGAGACGCGAACCCCGTTCCCCAGATTACGAGTCCACCACGCTTAACCACTACACCACACTGGCCTTGTGGCCCATCTAGTCCAGGATCCCTTCTTCATTATTATTAATCACTACTAGTATTCCTTTGTTCATTTCCCACCCGACATCCTAAGGTCACAGGGCAGGTTACAACACTGCAAGGCAGGGCAGGATTTAGGTTTGATGCGGCCCTAAGCTACTGAAGGTAATGGGGCCCTTTATATGTCCAGCTGTCCTTTGTCGACAACAAATTGTTGCTGTTTTTTGCGTTGAATAGAGTGGTACCTCTGGTTGCGAACAGAATCCGTTCCGGAGGCCCGTTTGCAACCTGAAAAGAACGCAACCCGCATCTGCGTGGGTTGCGATTCTCTGCTTCTGCGCATGCACGTGATGTCATTTTGCGTGTCTGCACATGCGCAAGCGTCGAAACCCGGAAGTAACCCTTTCCGGTATTTCCGGGTCGCCGCGGGACACAACCTGAAAACGCGCAAACTGAAGCAAACGTAACATGATGTGTGACTGTACAGTGGTACCTCGGGTTAAGTACTTAATTCGTTCCGGAGGTCCGTTCTTAACCTGAAACTGTACTTAACCTGAAGCACCACTTTAGCTAATGGGGCCTCCCACTGCTGCTGTGCTGCCGCCGGAGCACGATTTCTGTTCTCATCCTGAAGCAAAGTTCTTAACCTGAAGCACTATTTCTGGGTTAGCGGAGTCTGTAACCTGAAGCGTAAGTAACCTGAAGCATATGTAACCCAAGGTACCACTGTATATGTTATATGGTAATTTATGGACCTAATAGGTATCTAAGGCCATTTGCATGTCACAAAAGATGTATTTTATCAAAGTAATTGTTGAACTGAAATACAATTAAGAAGAAGTATATTAATAGTGAACGGGCCCTCGTACTCCTGAATTTGTAGGCAAATAAACAGAAGCACTGGGAAAACCTTTACCTGACAGAAGGAACAAGCCCACAAGGATGACGATCCAGCTGCAGAGGATCTTGTCTGAAGAACTTCCAGCTAAACTCCCCATTTGCCCTCTCATCATTTAGACACACTTTGAAAGGCAGAAGGGAATTCCGCGAGGCACTTTCTGGAGTAGTGAGGGACACACGGAAGAAGAAGAGGTGAGGCTTTCTCGATTCTGGATCAAATCAAAGCTCCCTTGGCGAAACTGGATTACTTGTGCATGTTAAGGGGGATACACCCATTTCACACTTCTAGAACCAAAACACAGCTAACCTTCAAAACTCAAACTTCTACGAATCTTTGCAATGCATATATTTGGGGGAAATGTGGATTAGAAATGCAGACTAATTAAGGAATGAGGTACCACATGAGATCATTGTTCCTCGATCTCCAGAGCATGGGTGGTCATCCAAAGATTTATAATTTGGCATAAAATCTGGACTGTTTGATTGTATTATAATTTGGAATGTTTTTAATGTGGTTTTTATTGGATTGTTAAAATGGCAAACTTAATAAATACTATTATAAAGAAAGAAAGAAATGCATAGCCTGTGTAGACCACCTTGAGCTAAATCATGGGTAGGCAAACTAAGATCCGGGGGCCAAATCCGGCCCAATCGCCTTCTAAATCCAGCCCGTGGAGTAGAATGTGCCCTTTTATTTAAAATGCATCTCTGGGTTATTTGTGGGGCATAGGAATTCATTTCCCCCCTAAAATATAGTCCGCCCGCCCCCCCAAGGTCTGAGGGACAGTGGACCGGCCCCCTGCTGAAAAAGTTTGCTGACCCCTGAACTAAAGGGTCTAAGGCTATTAGTGTAAGAACATAACGTCAACAGCAGCCTTGCATTTTAATATCCTCCTTAACCAAGTTCTTGCACATTTTTGACTCGCTTATTCATTCATTCATTCGTGTCTAAATGAATTCATTACAAGACACTTTGCAAAGATTAAAAAATAAGACCACTTACCTAACAAGGAAACCGCTAATAAGATCTGCTGTGTTATTTTGCCAGCTCTAGTCCCTTCTGCAGGCCATACAAATGAGCTACTTGCCAATTTGTGTTTTCCCTATTTTTGCAGAAGGACAATTTCAATGCCGCTTGAGTGTTGCAAATGGGACCCTCCGTGCCAATGTGAAGAAGGACTTCCCCTTATAGGCTGGCGGGAGATGTAAAGGCCAAGAGATCTGCTCTGCCCACTTTATATTTTACAACACTTGCTGCCATTCCCTGTCCTCCCTCTCACTCTGCTTTTTAACTATGGGCTCATTTCCTTCCCCCCTTTTTATGGGTAGCAGTTATCTGTTATCTACCAAGATTTTAAAGATAAGAATTACCGTATTTTTCCGTGTCTAAGACTAGGGTTTTTTTTTTTACCAAAAAGTTAGGTTTAAAATTGGGGCTTGTCTTATACATGGAGGGCGTCTTATACACGGGAAAATGCAGTAATTCTGTGTGACGCTGACCTGCAATTAGCTCCATGGATCAGAGATACTGGGAAACTAAAGAGCACAAGTCAGAAGTTCTCCAAGGGATGAGAGGAGGGGGAAAATTCAGCTCATGTTTGGAACCAAAGTTGCCAAATTCACACTTTGTGAAACAATGTGATAACCAAAACACACCCATCCTTCCCATATTTGCACTTCTCTGAATTTTGCAGTGCTGTTCACCAACAAGCCAAAGTTTACAAAAAGCATCTATTAGGCAAATGTATATGCGCTGTGGGTTAAACCACTGAGCCTAGGACTTGCTGATCAGAAGGTCGGCGGTTCAAATTCCCACGACGGGGTGAGCTCCCGTTGCTCGGTCCCTGCTCCTGCCAGCCTAGCAATTCGAAAGCACGTCAAAGTGCAAGTAGATAAATAGGTACCACTCCGGAGGGAAGGTAAACGGCGTTTCTGTGCGCTGCTCTGGTTCGCCAGAAGTGGCTTAGTCATGCTGGCCACATGACCCGGAAGCTGTATGCCGGCTCCTCGGCCTATAGAGCGAGATGAGCGCCACAACCCCAGAGTCGATCACGACTGGACCTAATGGTTAGGTGTCCCTTTACCTTTACCTATATGTAAATTGAATGTATTAGTGAAAGTAGCATACAAAAATGCATTATACTGGGGGAAATCGCTTGAAATGATGTTCGTGTTAGTCAAAACAGCACACACAAAAATGTGCTGATTCGGAGAAATCCACACTAAAAGGTTGGTATCTGAAGAAGTGTGCATGCACACAAAATCTTATACCAAGAACAAACTTAGTTGGTCTCTAAGGTGCTACTGGACAATTATTTTATATTTTTTTATATATTACACTAAAATGCTGCAGAATTCCTATGAGGGTTTCTGAAAAGGAGGTTTGAAGCAGGGGTAGGCAACCTGAGGTCTGTGGGTCGGATCCGGCCCAATCGCCTTCTAAATCCGGCCCGCGGACGGTCCGGGAATCAGCGTGTTGTAACATGAGTAGAATGTGTTTATTTAAAATGCATCTTTGTGTTATTTGTGGGGCCTGCTTGGTGTTTTTACACGAGTAGAATGTGTGCTTTTCTTTAAAATGCATCTCTGGGTTATTTGTGGGGCATAGGAATTCGTTCATTATTATTGTTTTTTCCAAAATATAGTTTGGCCCCCCACAAGGTCTGAGGGACAGTGGAACGGCCCCCTGCTGAAAAAGTTTGCTGACCCCTGGATTGCTGCAAAAATGTAGAAAACCAGATTTAAGAGTGGGAAAACCAAGAACCGAAGGGAAATGAAATTGGAAGAACCTCATCCCCACTCCTGCTGCAGGTGAGGCGCAGACAGGACAGCTGAGAGTTAACAATGAGAAGAACCACCCCTTATACCTGACCAATGCCCTTCCTTTGTGCCTCACCCTTATCTACCCCATCACATCACAGTCTGCCCAAACCTCTTCTTCCCCTCCCACCACACCTCCCCTCAACCAGGGTGGATAAAAATCAATGATTTAAAAAACTAAAATCAGATTTTTAAATTTAAATCAGATTTATTTTAATTGGATTTTAAAAATAAAATGCATTTGGAGGAAAAATATTTCTAAAGATAGTTTTCTATTTAAGTTACATTATAGTCCAAAGGCTATTCATCAGGAAATAAGGATTTGTTTTACTTTTTTCAGTCTAAGTTTTTGGGGTTTTTTAAATTCTTTAACCACATCAGTTAAGAAACATGGATACATATGCTATCATGTTGTTATTTTAGTTAAATAAATTGTTATTAAGGAAATTATTGTTTTTCTCCTTCCAATAAAGTGCAACAGAAAAGTTGTCCAAATATAAACAGTTAACTTATTAAGCCTCACAATAACTTCATAAATATCTGTCTATGTATTTCTAACAGTATAAACAAATCAGTAATTTTTGATATAACTGTAAAAACTCCCCTGAAAATTTATTTTTCCAAAAATGAAACCTTCATCTGGTTATAAATATTAAGATTATACCAGCAAGAATGAGTCTTTCTGTAAAATAATGATTTAAATCAAGTCTTACTGACTAGTGATTTAAATCGTGATTTAAATCAATTTGATTTAAATCAAATTCACCCTGCCTTCAACCCCTTTTAAGGCACCCCTCTCCTTTAAAGATTGATCCAGTGGTGTTTTTAATGGAGAAAGGAAGGCACTTCAGTTTGCCATATACCACGCTCTGAAGCACCTCCCTCCCTCTTTTGAAAGGGTCACCTGGGCCACCTGCTCCACCTGCGCTTACTTGCCTACCTGCTGTTTTGTCACCACACAAGAGTTATCATGGCCACCTGTTGGGGGCATTGCAAATGACAGCATGATGACAGCATTACAACTTTATGATATAGTAAGATCATATTACGTTTTCAAGGTCTTTCTGCAATTATGAGGGCTAGAAGCTTGGGTTTCTTAGGCTGATTCTCAGAAAAGCTTCCAGATCCCCATGTATTCTAAATTAAGGCAGACACTTCAAGCTGTTATACTGTTCTACTCTGCAAAGTTTAACAGATTGGGTAGTACTGACCTCTGACCGCCAACCTTTACAGTGTTTAACAACCATAGAAATACCAATGTTAAGTTACATATATGATCATAAAATGTAATCTTGCCAGAAAGCTGTAACAAAGATTAGATTAGAGTAATAAAATAAAGGAGATTTGAATGGGCGAGATTAACAGCATCTCAGTGACACATTTGTGGTTGTGTTGTTGTTTTTTTAATAAACTCCTGTACTTTTCCCAGCTCCATGGGAGAAATTATTGGCAAGGCCATAAAATGTTGAGGAAAGCTGTTCCAGTTGGATTCTTTCCAGCCACATCACTTGCGCATCTCCCTATGGGAAGAGGTGAGCCCTGTGAGCCTTGTCATCTGTTTCACAGTGGATGGACCAGGAGAAGGAAAAACACAGAGAGGAAACACTGGGAACTTAATGTCTACTCTGACTGGCGTTTCATGCAGGGAATCTCTCCCAACCCTACCTGGAGATTCCATAGGCATAACCCAATAACACCCCCCCCCCAAAAAAATCCACATTTTAAAAGGGTATATAGGATGTTGATCAGGTCAACCAAAGGCCTGGTAAAAAAGGAACGTTTTTGCCTGGCACCTAAAGGTGTTTAATGAAGGTGCCAGGTGAAGTTCCCTGGGAGGAGAGAATTCCACAGACAGGGAACCACTGCAGAGAAGGCCCTGTCCTCGTGTTGCCACCCTCCAGACCTCTCAAGGAGGAGGCACATGAAAAAGGGCCTCAGAAGATGATCTCAGGGTCCGGGTAGGTTCATATGGAAAGAGGCGGTCCTTGAGGTACTGCGGTCCTGAGACGTTTAAGGCTTTACATAGGTCAAAACCAGCACTTTGAATTGGGCCTGGAAACTAAACTCCAGTGCACTCGGACCAGGGTGGGTGAAATATGCTCAAACCATCTTGCTCCGATGAGCAACCTGACTGCTGAATTTACTGTGTTTGATGTTTTAATTTGCTGGAAGCTGCCCAGAGTGGTTGGGGCAACCCAGTCAGTTGGGTTGTATGTAAATAAATTATTATTATTATTATTATTATTATTATTATTATTATTATTATTATTAAGCAGCTCAGTATTGTCCACACTGACTTCCAGCAGCTGAATAGGGTTTCTGACAGGGAGTCTTTACCCAACCTTGAGTCCTACCTAGAGATGGGGCCTTCTGCAACCAACTCAGATGCTCTGCGACTCAGCTACAGCCCTTTCCCTTATCCTAAATCACAACCTCAACCACATCCCTGATGCCGGGAGTCTTTGAGATAATTGATTTATGCCTCTCTCCTCTTTTTGCGATTACTGACTTACATCTCTCTCTTGCCCTTCCAATCTCTCAGGCCACTTCTGCAAGAAATCCTCTGCCAGGGCCACCGCCTGGGCACAGGTCTCAGGCCTGCCTTCCCTGACCCAGCTCCCCATCTCCTGGGGAAGGACCATAAAGAACTGCTCCAGGATCAGAAGCTCCACGATTTGCTCCTTGGTCCGCCTCTCCGGCTTCAGCCATCGGTGGCAAAGCTCCCAGAGCCGCCTGCAAACCACTCGGGGCCCCTCGGCCTCCTGGTAGCGGAGCTGCCGGAAGCATCGCCGCCACGTCTCCCTACTGGAAAGATCCTCTCCAGGGGTTTCTTCCTTGACCATCTCATCATCACCTTGTGCTTGGTGGTCGCCTTCCGGCGGTTTACTTTCCGCCTCTCCTTGAAGGGACTGACCAGTCTCTGCCACATCTTCCCTCGGGGCCGGAAACAACTTTGTATCTCGCGACAGCGTGGGATCTAGATGTGGCGAGGCAGCCAACTCAAAGCGAGGGCACTCCACTGCCTTTAGGAACTCCTGCCACTGCGCTTCCCAGCTCTGTGTCTTCAGCATTGTCTACAGCAGTGTTTCCCAACCACTGTTCCGCGGCACACTAGTGTGCCGCGAGATGTTGCCTGGTGTGCCGTGGGGAAAATTCGAAAGATTTTTTTTTTTTTTGTAAAAGTCAAATTAGGTCCTAATCTATCCCTCGAGCGCCTCTTGTCCGTTATTGTGACGCATGAAGCGTGTTCCCGCCCACTCCCCGCCCTCCCTTGCTTCTCTCTCTCTCTCTGTGGCGCTCTCCGCCGCTTCCTGCTGGGCATGCGCAGCTCGCCTCGCGCTTCCATTCCAGCCCCTCCTTCCCCCGACTACCCCGCCGCTCCGTTCCTTTCTCTTTCTCGCGTGTCAGAGAGCGGCGGCGCGAGCACGGCGGTTCCCTCAGGGCTGACGGAGGGCTCGAGGAGGAGGAGGCAGGACGTGGAGGCGGAGAAAGCAGCGGCGGCCACCCCCCACCTCCGGCTCGAGGCCTGCGTAGAAAGCTGAGGGGGAGAGATAGATAGAGGTGGGCGGCGGCGGCGGCGACCACGACCAACCGCCACAGTAGTTGTAGCGGTGGCGACGGCGAGCAGGGACTCCCGCTCTCTCTCCGTCGTGTCTCTCTCTCTCTCTCTCTCCCGGGCCCGTCCGTTGAGTCTCCCGCGCGCCTCGGCTACAAGATGAGCATCGAGATCCCGCCGGGTCTGACTGAGCTGCTGCAGGGCTACACGGTGGAGGTGCTGCGGCACCGGCCGCCGGACCTGCTGGCCTTCGCCGCCGAGTACTTCGCCAAGCCGCGCTCTCCTTCCTGCCTCGCTTTGCTGCCTCCTCCCCCCCACCCCCAAAGCTTGGAGGTTACCCGGCGCCGACCCGCAGGTTTGACCCCCTTCTCACACCTGTTCGCGCTCCTTGCACGGAATGGGGCGGATGGGGAGGAACGGGGCTCGCCGCTGCCTCCGCTCGCCCTCCCCCCCTCCGCCGGCGGTCCCGTGATTCTTGGCTTTTTGGCGGTTGGCACAGAAGGAAGGCAAGGGGGAGGGGAAAAAATTGAATCTTATACTTTCATGCGTCCCTCCCGGCGTGACGCTGTGCGCTGAAGTCACGGGGCTGTAATGGTGGTGTGCCTCGAGATTTTTTTCATGAAACAAGTGTGCCTTTGCCCAAAAAAGGTTGGGAAACACTGGTCTACAGGCACTGACTGGCAGCTCCTCTCCAGGGTGAGAGTTGGGGGGCATTCCCAGCCCCTACCTCGTGATGCGCTGAGGATTGACCCATGGATGCTTTAGTTGAGATTCCTGAATTGCAGGGGGTTGGACTAGATGACCCTTGGATCCCCTTCCAACCCTACTATTCAATGATTCTACGAACTCCTCGCTGACGCTGACACAGTGAATGCAGTTCTGCTCCGATGCCCCCACAATGGAGGCTGGCCCATTAGGGCAACCCAGCATCAACCTCAGCCTGCCCTCAGCCAGCCCCACACCAGCTATCTCCTTCCTTTAAAGCGGGGGTAGGTAACCTAAGACCCGGGGGCCGGATGCGGCCCAATCGCCTTCTAAATCTGGCCCGCAGAAGGTCCAGGAATCAGCATGCTTTTACATAAGTAGAATGTGTGCGTATATTTAAAATGCATCTCTGGGTTATTTGTGGGGCATAGGAATTTGTTCGTTATTTTTTTCAAAATATAGTCCAGCCCCCCACATAGTCTGAGGGATGGTGGACGGGCCCACGGCTGAAAAAGGTTGCTGACCCCTGCTTTAAAGCCATTCCAGGGGATGGCTCTGCCAGTCAACCTCCTTCTCTTCCCCAGCGTTGCCTTTGCAGAACTGGGCAGGGAAGAAGATGGGTGGCTCAACTAGAATTGGTCGGCTCCGCTGATCATCGGCTCTCCGGCGCCACCTACTGTCGGGCTCCCTGCCCTCCGCCCTATCATTCCCGATGGACATCAGCCGCTGCTGCTCATCACCATTTCTCTCCTTTTTGCTTCCAAGGGTGGCCCTTTAAAGGGGTTAAAACCACAGAGCACTGATTCCCAGAGAAGCCAAGAAATTTGAAAAGGAGGAGGGGGGCGGACTGTAAATACTGCAAAGTCCCTTCCTCCTCCAGCTCCCAGCTAAGCTTGTGCTGTGGAGCTATTGTTGTGTTTTCCTTGCTGCAGACCTGAGGTGGGGGTGAGTTTGAAAGGCTGGAATAGGACCTTTCAGTTGCAACAAATAAATCCCAAGGGTAAAATTTGCACTGGCCCATTCGTAGGATTATGCCACCTCTTAAAATAATAATAATTAAATTGATCTGCTGTTTGCAATCCAAGCGTTACAAAATGAATTAGGATCTCTCAAGGCTCTCACTGCAACCTCATGGGAATTTACCGAGTTGCTTTAAAATGCGCAAATATTTTCCTGTGTTTTTAAGCCACACCATAACTGCTGCGGGGGAAGGTGGGATTAAAATCTCCTCCGTTTGATTGCTATTGTTTCCACACACCCCTATTGTTTTATATATATATCGCTGTTCTTTAGGACTCATTCTACAATATATATCATTTTATGCCATTCCCATTGAGCTGGCTGTGTTTTCATGCTTTGTGGCCGGCCACCTGATATGTTGACTTAGAATTAATTTTATTAATAGCAGCAAATGACACATGGCCTTTGGGGATGAGAATCCTAGACTGCAAGAATCCTATACACACCTGGGAGCAAGCTCTGTTGGAAATGACGGGGTTTGCTCCTGAGAAAACCTGGATAGGATTGTGATATTCGTGCGCTCTGTTGGGATTTAAGTTTTATGTTTCCGGACGGGTGTTAAATCTGTGCCAAAGGTGGGCAGGTGACGTGGGAGAGGGCTCCTGCGCCTTTAAAAGGGAAATGAAGGCAAACATTTTTGGGGTGCTAAATTGGATCTGGAACACACATATGTTTCTTGATGCCTTTTGAAGAGAGCCACTACCTGTCTCTGTAGACCACTCTGGTCTCATTCCCCACAAGGAGTCCTGTTTAAACAGCTGCCCATGAGGACTAGAATCTTGCTTTATCTTGAAGGGGACCCTAGCTCAGTGGCAGAGTATTGGCTATGCATATAGAAGATGTCAGGTATAGCGCTTCTGAGGTACAGAAAAATTGATAGTTTATTGATTCAAATAGAAGCCATTTATATAAAGTATAGAAGCCATTTCTCATCTATTGATTCAAGCAGAAGTTTCTGGTATGTTCTCTGCATGTGGCACAAGCTGGAAGTTTCTAGCTAGTTTGCAAATTTCCATTCTGCTAAGAAGCACGCAGGTGCTATTTTGGCTGTGAACCTTAACACGTTTCTCAAGGCCAAGATGTTTTCAACTGCCTATTATTAATTTACAGGCTGGGAATGACTGGTTTCTCGCTTCCGTTCGTTCCGTCTATCTCTTCTCTTCAGTTTGTTTCTCTCATTGAGTGCATTGTACATAAGTTTAAGGTTTCCATTTTTACTGTTAAACTGCAACTGGATTTTAAAGAGTTTTTCTGCTATCCAGGGATCTGGGTCTTGTTATGTGAATTTGCCGTAGTAAATTTTGCTAATGAAGTTGGCTGCATCTGAGTCGTTTTTTGAAACCATGCTCTGTTTTGGAATCTGCTCTGCTTTTTCAGGTAAAGGTAAAGGGACCCCTGACCATTAGGTCCAGTCATGACCGACTCTGGGGTTGCGGTGCTCATCCCGCTTTATTGGCCGAGTTTACCTTCCCACCGAAGCAGTACCTATTTATCTACTTGCACTTTGACGTGCTTTCGAACTGCTAGGTGGGCAGGAGCAGGGACCGAGCAATGGGAGCTCACCCTGTCGCAGGGATTCGAACTGCCGACCTTCTGATCGGCAAGCCCTAGGCTCTGTGGTTTAACCCACAGCGCCACCTGCGTCCCTGCTCTGCTTTTTTTACTCTGCTACAATTCATGGCCTGGGATCAGGAAAGGCCATGAACCGTGACAGAAAATCCCTGGCTCAATCAATCTCGGGTGGCAATTCTAGGTTCCCATTTTGAAACCCTGGAGAGCAGCTGCAAGTCAGTGTAGTCAGCACTGATCTAGGTAGACCTGTAGTACTGATTCTGTTTGTCCCTATGTTCTATCTCACTATGTGATATACCATAGTTCTTTTAGATCTTATTTTTCTGTTTGTGTCTCCCGTATCCTTGTACCGTTTGATATACTCTAGTGCTTTGCTTGTGACATTATTATTATTATTATTATTATTATTATTATTATTATTATATTTTTTTTCCCAGGAGGACCAGTTGCTTAGAGTGTGATGCTGATAATGCCAAAGCTGCAGGTTCAGTCCTTGTATGTTCCTGCCGTGCAGGGGGTTAGACTAGATGATCCAAGAGGTCCCTTCTATCTCTATGATTCTCTGGTGATTCGATGATTTATTAGTTGCTTCTTACCAAGTTCTCCAAGTGGCATGTTTAAAAACAGCAACACATACCATGATAAATTCATGAGGAATCATAGAAAATTAATAATAATGATAATGATAATAATAAACAATACCCCACCCCTCCAGCTGGGTTTCCCCAGCCACTCTGGGCGGCTCCCAACAGATTAAAAACACGACAAAACATCAAACATAAAAAACTTCTAAAAGTCAGGTAGTTGTTTATTTCCTTGACATCTGATCAGAGGACGTTCCACAGGGCAAGCACCACCACTGAGAAGGCCCTCTGCCTGGTTGTAGAGCTGGAGATCCATTTAAGATCCATTCCTCCTTGGTTGGAACTCCCACTTCCTTCCATTTCTGCACATATAGGATTCTGGCTGCTGTTGCTGCATACATAAATAGTTTAATCATCCTCTTTGGGACATCCTTCCCTAGATAAAGGATAGCATTCTCATCCAGGCGTCTGCAACACCCACGAAAACAAATCCCATTATTCTGTTCTGCTACTGTTCCCCAACCTCTTTCCCTTTTGTCTCTTATAACAGAGGGCATGCCCACAGATGTAGTTTGTGGATGAAATTCATTCTGCTATACAAGTCTTAAAGGGGCAGGGGCACCAGTCACCTGTCTGAACAATACTACCTCCAATTGTAGTGGTGTTTCATACAATTAAATGCACCTCCATCTACGGTGAATAATGTTTAAAAGCTGCACATGGCTAGCACTCTTCCTGTTAACATGATAGCTTTCTTTGTTCAGGTAATTTGTTTTAAATAAAATAAAATAAAAAATAATATGAAGTATAAAATAAAATAATTTATGCCCTAAAAGACAGTCTGAAAATTTTGATATTATGATATTTAACAAATGTATTTAAGTCTGGCCCAGGGTGCTAATGGTATGGTTCAGAAACAGAGCATGATAATATCTAGCTTTTCTCGAAAAGTAATGAAACTCCTGATTTCTTCCTCGTTCTGTGCCTGAAATATGAAATATTTGGGAATTTTGCAAACCTTAAAGGATTTTTTTTTAAAAAATGAGGGGTAGATGTACAGTAAATGTTTGCTGTATTGACTTTCCATATGGTATTCTGCATGAGCCCGGAAATTCCTATCAGTGGCAGAATTTAGTATTTCAGCTTTCATTTCTGGGGGTGGGGGTGCGGGGACATACCAAATTTCTGTCCCTTATGACCCTGAAGAAATAGGCTTGAAAGTGAGGCAAGGTCTGGGAGAATGAGAAACTGGGATGTCTAGAATCAAAATAAAATTACCCCCTAAGGTTTTATGTGCTCTCCGTCATTCTTGTGTATGTTTTTATTTTTTAAGAACCAACCTCTGTTGTTGAACCAACCTCGTTACTGGCTCAGAAATAAATGAACCCCTCAATTATATTTTTCAGAGACCCTTGTGGATTCTGCTGCTGGGGCTAGCCTGGGACAAGAAGCCAAGTAAACTTAGGAAGAAGAAACTCCCCCCCCCCAAAGCTTCTTGTTTGTGTGTGAGAGAGAGGCGAATTGGAGTAAAGCCTTGGCCCTAGAAAAATGGCTGCCGAGCAAGGGATTCTGGGAGATCTGGTTCCCCGGTTCCAAGCCGGGCTACAGCCAGGGGAGGAAATGTTGCAGTGTGGACTCCTGAGCCCCAAACCGGAGGAAGAATTGGAGGGGAAAAGTGAAATGTCTCCCAGGATCCCAACCGAACTTCCCCAGAGAATGACGTCCCCGCACATCAAAGAGGAAGCCGGCGAAGGTTTGGCACAGCCGTGGGAGCCTCGGTGGCAGCACTTCCCAAGGGAGCCGCGGCCCTTTCACACAATCTGGGGGGGTGCGCCCTCCCCCTGGGGCCATGCCGAAGCTTCGCCCTCTTCTTTCCAGGGGTCAGGTCATGCTGGCGGCCGACCCGGAGGAGAGCGGGCGGCCCAGCCGTGGCCTGGCCCTGGCAGAGACGTTCAAGGGGCGCTAGTCGACGGTGAGGGAGCCTGCGGGAAAGTCAAGGAGAAGGCGTCCCTGGATGAAGAGGCCGCCGACACGGAGAAGTGCCGCCAGCGGTTCCGACACTTTGGCTACCAGGAGGCCGAGGGCCCCCGCGAGGTCTGCAGCCGCCTCTGGTTCCTGTGCTACCAGTGGCTGAAGCCAGAGAGGCGCACCAAGGAGCAGATCCTGGAGCTCCTGATCCTGGAGCAGTTCCTGGCCGTCCTGCCGCCGGAAGTGCAGAGCTGGGTGAAGGATCGCGACCCAGAGACTTGCGCCCAGGCGGTGGCCCTGGCAGAGGACTTCATGCTGAGGCAGGAAGAGGAGCCCCTGGGGGCAGGCGGCGAAGTCCCCCAGCCTCTTGGAGCAGGAGAGAAGGGTTTTGGGGCGCTGTTGCCTTTGCAACACATGGAGAAAGTGGTATGGATCAGCCTTTCCCCTCTGCTGTGCCTCTCCATCCCCCCGACTTCCCCCCTTCTTCTCATTTTCCCTGCCCGGACTTCCCTTCTGCTCCAAACCTAAATTGTCTGTTACCTAGACTAGGATTTTTCAAATCTTCTACTCCCAGGCCTCAGTTGATGGGCCTGGAGATTTCTGGGATAGATCTCAGAAATAAATGGTGGCAGATGGAGGCAGAGTTGGGTATAATCAGCAGGGAAGGAATCGGATCATTTTCTCCTGCTAATCCCTCTTTGCCAGTTGCTAAATGCCTTGTCAAAGGATCTTCCTTTGCCGTGTACGCACATTCACAGCACATCCTCCCGCCCCCTCCACAAAGAATCATAGGAACTGTAGTTAGTGCTGGGAATTATTTGCCACTCACAGAGTTTCAAGCAACATTTACAAGGATCTTTTGAGGAGGAAGTGTGCTTCAAGTGTGCTCTAAACCTACAGAGCCCTTGTGGCAAGGAGTTCCGTAGCTCTGGGAAGTGTTATGACTCCAGGTTGGTGGCTAGTACAGTGGTACCTCTGGATGCGAACGGGATCCGTTCCAGAGCCCTGTTCACATCCTGAAGCGAACGCAACCCACGTGCGTGAGTCGCGATTTGCCGCATCTGCTCATGCGCATGACATCATTTTGAGTGTCTGTGCATGCGCGAGCGACAAAACCTGGAAGTAGCACGTTCCATTACTTCCAGGTCGCCGCGGAGCGCAACCCGAAAAACGCTTAACCCGAAGCTACTTTAACCCGAGGTATTACCTCTTGTGGGCACATGTGCCACAGTTTTAACCAATCCAGCCATGTGGATATTGAGAGAGTGTGGATTCCTGAGGTCAAGCTATCCTAGTCCACAAACAGCTGAAACTAGCAAACCAAGGGGTGATTGTATTTGCCAACTAAAGAGGGTGGCAGGTTAAACTGTTTGAGTACATAGAATTATTGATTATGACAAAAAAGGTCAGGGACTGATCGACCCAAAAGTTTAAAAAAGAATGGAACATCTACAGACTATATCTAAAAGAACACTGTCCCCACATCAAATCTTTAATATGCTTTGATTAACTCTTGTAATAACTCAGGTTAAAAGGAATATAAACAACATGTAATATTGTTTAAGCTTATTGAAAAACAGATGCAGTTAACAAGGAACTAAAAGAACCAGGCAGAGTAGGTCGGAAGTCATAAGGCGGAGAAGAAATTTACTTTTATCGTTTTCTTTTCAAGATATTTTGTCCTGTTTGGTATTGGTGGTGGGCTGCTTGTTATAGCTTTGTGTTTTGGTGTTGCAAGCGGATTGGATGTATTGTTTATAAACCAATAAAGAATGAAGTGAGGGGGGTGGATTCCTGAGGCCAAGCTATCCTAGTCCATGAACAGCTGAAACTAGCAAACCAAGGAGGGATTGTATTTGCCAAGCCCAGTTACCAATCTCACTGGCCTATTTCAGACCAGCTGAAGGTAGACCCCATGTGTAATGCATTGCTGCTATCCATTTGTGATTATGGCAATACCTTATCTTTCTCAGGCATTCGGTTCCAAGAGCTATGTGTGTACATGAAAATATAGAAAATATTTCTATATGCAGCTGGTGTAATGAAGGAGACAGAGAGCACTCTCAACACTCTCAAAGCCACTGCGCTCCTAACAGGACAGGTGTTGCCCAGCAAGCAAGACTGAGAACTGAAAAGCTCTTTTTGTACCAGGTCCACTTGGGGTTACTGGTGCGAAAAGAGCTTAAACGGCCTCGATCCAGTATACCTGAAGGAGCGTCTCCACATCCTTCATTCTGCCCGGACACTGAGGTCCAGCGCCGAGGGCCTTCTGGTGGTTCCCTTGCTGCGAGAAGCCAAGTCACAGGGAACCAGGCAGAGGGCCTTCTCAGTAGTGGCACCCGCCCTGTGGAACGCCCTCCCACCAGATGTCAAAGAGAAAAATAGCTACCAAACTTTTAGAAAACATCTAAAGGCAGCCCTGTTTAGGGAAGCTTTTAATGTTTAATAGGTTATTTTAGTGTTTTGTTGGAAGCTGCCCAGAGTGGCTGGGGAAACCCAGCCAGATGGGCGGGGTATAAATAATAAATTATGATGATGATGATGATGATGATGATGATGATGATAATTATTAAACTCTCAGCCTTGCTTGCCAGGCAATGCCCTCTCAGCATACCAGCTCTGGGAGTGCTGGAGATGCTCTTGCAAGATCTCGCAGGACAACTTGTCTTCCCGCGAGATCTTGCGAGAGCATCCCCAGCAACCCCAGAGCCAATGTGCCAAGCAGGCCTTACCTGAGAACCAAGCTTAAAATCTCTCTTCGCACCCAATCCCCTTGAGTTGCACAGTTTCAGCCGTATACTGTTTGGTTTCGCACAAGTCATTTGAGCGTAAAATGAGGCGCTGCCATATTCTGCCCTGGCTATGCCCTTTGTGTTGTTCCAGGTGTCTGGGCTTCTGGCGGAGGTCTGCCTGTATTCTTCCAAAGCGAGAGGCACCTTCAAAACGGATGAGCAGGAGAGCGGCAGAGATGCTTCTTTGCAGGGTAAGCGTTTGTGGCGCCTCAGTGGCTCTCGCTGCTGCCACCTTTCCCAGAATGCCTTGCTCTGAAGGAAGACCCACACGCCTTGACCCTTTCTCAGAGCCAGGCCAGGAGGCAGGGGGTGAGAAGCGCTAGCTGCTGCTGTTCCTGCGGCTGCTATGACGGCAAAAAGGAATAAAATGTAAACGATGTGAGGAAGAAGAGAGAGAGGGCAGCAGCTCCCACTGCCCACCTGAGCCAGCACAAACTCTTATTGCCACGACGGTGTTGGCCTGAAACAGGGTGTGTGGCCTGCCCCTGTTGCTCTATCTGGCTAAAACACAACTTTTTCTTTTCTTCTATTTTTTTAAGACGTAATTTTTTATTGATTTCCAAATTTACTTCTATTTCAGTGTACAATTTTTCTAAAATTTTGACTTCCCACCTTTACGCTCATTATGGTTTTATTCCTGTCTTATACCTGCTGCCTTGTTTGACATACTTTAATCTAATACAATTATCATGTCTTCCACTTATCATTGTTTTCTTTTTAAATTTTCTTTCTTTCTTTTATTTATTTATTTATACCCCGCCCTTCCCGGTTCAGAAAACCGGGCTCAGTGCGGCTAACAACAAATTTGAAACACTTGATTGTAATACAACATAGAAGCAGCATACAATACAGTATAAAAGCATGAATAACAATAAAATTCAAAGTTCAAAAATCAATTTGGGGGAAATCCATCCAATAAGCATTAGATAGTCACCAGGTCTAGCTGGCTGAATTAGTCCTACTTGGGCCAGCAAGGAGGCCAGGGGAGAATTAGCTGTGGGGTCTCAGAGCGAGTGATCTTCATAAAAGGGGAGGGGGAGGGAAGAGAAGGGAAATAAAAGATCAGGATGAATTCAAATTAAAGGCCAGGCAGAATAACTCTGTCTTACAGGCCCGGCGGAAGGAGGTTAAATCCTGAAGGGCCCTGGTCTCGTGGGGCAGAGCATTCCACCAGGTCGGAGCCATCACTGAGAAGGCCCTGGCCCTGGTGGAGGATGGTCTGACTTCCTTAGGGCCCGGGACCTCTAAACTATGGTTATTTATGGACCTTAAGGTCCTCTGCGGGGCATACCAGGAGAGGCGGTCCCATAAATATATTTTTATTAAGTTTTACAAAAGAAATTTAAATTCTAACAAATCATCCACCTCTTCATTAGGATTCATAGAATCATAGAATCATAGAGTTGGAAGAGACCACAAGGGCCATCGAGTCCAACCCCCTGCCAAGCAGGAAACACCATCAGAGCACTCCTGACATATGGTTGTCAAGCCTCTGCTTAAAGACCTCCAAAGAAGGAGACTCCACCACACTCCTTGGCAGCAAATTCCACTGTCGAACAGCTCTTACTGTCAGGAAGTTCTTCCTAATGTTTAGGTGGAATCTTCTTTCTTGTAGTTTGGATCCATTGCTCCGTGTCCGCTTCTCTGGAGCAGCAGAAAACAGCCTTTCTCCCTCCTCTATGTGACATCCTTTTATATATTTGTACATGGCTATCATATCACCCCGTAACCTCCTCTTCTCCAGGCTAAACATGCCCAGCTCCCTTAGCCGTTCCTCATAAGGCATCGTTTCCAGGCCTTTGACCATTTTGGTTGCCCTCCTCTGGACACGTTCGAGTTTGTCAGTGTCCTTCTTGAACTGTGGTGCCCAGAACTGGACACAGTACTCCAGGTGAGGTCTGACCAGAGCAGAATATAGTGGCACTATTACTTCCCTTGATCTAGATGCTATACTCCTATTGATGAGGCCCAGAATTGCATTGGCTTTTTTAGCTGCCGCGTCACATTGTTGGCTCATGTCAAGTTTGTGGTCAACCAAGACTCCTAGATCCTTTTCACATGTACTGCTCTCAAGCCAGGTGTCCCCCATCTTGTATTTGTGCCTCTCATTTTTTTTGCCCAAGTGCAATACTTTACATTTCTCCCTGTTAAAATTCATCTTGTTTGTTTTGGCCCAGTTCTCTAATCTGTCAAGGTCGTTTTGAAGTGTGATCCTGTCCTCTGGGGTGTTAGTCACCCCTCCCAGTTTGGTGTCATCTGCAAATTTGATCAGGATGCCCTTGAGTCCATCATCCAAGTCGTTGATAAAGATGTTGAATAAGACCGGGCCCAAGACAGAACCCTGTGGCACCCCACTAGTCACTCTTCTCCAGGATGAAGAGGAACCATTGATGAACACCCTTTGGGTTCGGTCAGTCAGCCAGTTACAAATCCACTGAGTGGTAGCATAGTCAAGACCGCATTTTACCAGCTTCTTTACAAGAATATCATGGGGCACCTTGTCAAATGCCTTGCTGAAATCAAGGTAGACTACATCCACTGCGTTCCCTTCATCTACCAGGCTTGTAATTCTGTCAAAAAACGAGATCAGGTTAGTCTGACATGACTTATTTTTCAGAAATCCATGCTGACTATTGGTGATCACAGCATTCCTTTCTAGGTGCTCACAGACTGTTTGCTTAATGATCTGCTCCAGAATCTTCCCTGGTATTGATGTCAGACTGACTGGGCGGTAATTATTTGGGTCCTCTCTTTTCCCCTTTTTGAAAATAGGGACAACATTTGCCCTCCTCCAGTCTGCCGGGACTTCGCCTGTTCTCCAGGAATTCTCAAAGATGACTGCCAGTGGTTCTGAAATCACATCTGCCAGTTCTTTTAATACTCTTGGATGCAGTTCATCTGGCCCTGGAGACTTGAATACATCTAGACTAGCCAAGTATTCTTGTACTATCTCCTTAGTTATTCTGGGTTGTGTTTCCTCTGCTGAATCATTTGCTCCAAATTCTTCAGGTCGGGCATTGTTTTCTTTATCGGAGAAGACTGAGGCAAAGAAAGCATTGAGGAGTTCAGCCCTTTCTGTGTCCCCTGTTTGCATTTCACCATCTTCTCCTCTGAGTGACCCCACGGTTTCTTTGTTCTTCCTTTTGCTACGAACATACCCATAAAAGCCTTTTTTGTTGCTTTTAACCTCTCTAGCAAGCCTGAGTTCATTTTGTGCTTTAGCTTTTCTGACTTTGTGTCTACACGTGCTGGCTATTTGTTTGAATTCCTCTTTGGTGGTTTCCCCCCTTTTCCATTTTTTGTACACATCCTTTTTTAATCTTAACTCAGTTAAAAGTTCTTTAGATAGCCACCCTGGCTTCTTTAGGCACCTTCCATGTTTCCGTCTCATTGGTATTGCCTGAAGTTGTGCTTTTACTATCTCCCTCTTAACAAACTCCCAGCCATCTTGAACTCCCTTTCCTTTTAGTATTACTGTCCATGGGATCTCACCCAGCACTTCCCTAAGCTTTATGAAGTCGGCTTTCTTAAAGTCGAGAAATTGAGTCCTAGTATGCTTGGCTGCTCCTTTCCGCTGTATAGTAAACTTCAGAAGAGCATGATCACTCGCGCCTAATGATCCTTCCACTTCTACCCCACTAACCAGGTCATCAACATTGGTTAGGACCAGATCTAAAATGGCTGTTCCTCTTGTTGCTTCTCCCACTTTCTGGACAATGAAGTTGTCTGCAAGGGCAGTGAGGAATCTGTTTGACCTTATGCTCTTGGCTGAGTTTGACATCCAACAAATATCCGGGTAATTGAAGTCCCCCATTACTACTATCTCCCTTCCTTTTGCATGCTTGGCCATCTGTTCCAGGAAGGCATCATCTATGTCCTCCGTTTGGCTTGGGGATCTATAGTAAACTCCCACAATGAGGTCACTGTTATTCTTCTCTCCCTTAATTTTCACCCAAATGCTCTCACTTTGGCTTTGAGGTTCTAAATCTTGGATCTCTTCACAGGTATACACATCCCTGACATATAATGCCACTCCTCCTCCTTTCTTGTCTGGTCTGTTTCTTTGAAATAGATTGTATCCCTCCATTATTACATTCCAATCGTGGGATTTATCCCACCAGGTTTCAGTGATTCCTATTATGTCATATTTAGTTTGCTCTACCAGGAGCTCAAGCTCATCTTGTTTATTTCCCATGCTTTGCGCATTAGTGTACAGACATTGAAGTCCATTAATCATTCCCCCGTGTCTCTTATTTAAGGATTTTTTCCTCCCACCACTAGGTCTGCATGCTCTTTGCTCCATTCGGTCTATGACATTTGGATGATCATCTTCATCAATTGATAGACTCCTACCTTCAGGAGCACTGTCTCCCTCCCCCACATTAGTCAGTTTAAAGCCCTCCTGATGAGGTTTCTGAGATTTTTTGCAAAAACATTCCTCCCAACCGTTGTGAGGTGCAGCCCATCGCTTGCCAGAAGTCCATCTTCAAGAAACTGCATTCCGTGATCTAAGAATCCAAACCGTTCCTGTTTACACCATTTGCGAAGCCAGTTGTTCACTTCCACTATTTTTCCCTCTCTCCCTGAATCTTCCCTGAATCTTTTGACTTCCTTCCTGCCCTTCCGTGGTTCCCCCCAACTGCTTATCTTATTTTCTCTAATTTGTTTAAAAAAAGCAGTAATCATTTTTTCCATGGTTTTTCGTACATTACAAGCATTGCTCAAACCCTGCCAAAGTTTTTAGTTGTTTACAGTGTTCTCTTAAGTACATTATATTTTTTTCCCATTCCTTCTTAAAATTCCTCTCTTCCTGGCTTCTGATTTTCCCAGTCAATTTTGCCATTTTGGCATAGTCCATCATCTTCATCAGCCATTCCTCATATTCCACTTATCACTGTTTTCAATCTGCTGCTCATAATTCGAACCCTGCCCATGTTTTCATTTGAAGAAGAAGAAGAGTTTGGATTTGATATCCCGCCTTTCACTCCCTTTAAGGAGTCTCAAAGCGGCTAACGTTCTCCTTTCCCTTCCTCCCCCACAACAAACACTCTGTGAGGTGAGTGGGGCTGAGAGACTTCAAAGAAGTGTGACTGGCCCAGGGTCACCCAGCAGCTGCAGGTGGAGGAGCGGGGAAGCGAACCCGGTTCCCCAGATTACGAGACTACTGCTCTTAACCACTACACCACACTGGCTCTCACATTTGACTCTGTTTTATTTTCTTTTTATTGATGCAGATCTTCCAGCAGATAATTTGCCAGAGAGGGAGGCCTCGGCCGTTTTGCCCCAGGAAAACCCGAGGCAAGAGGATCCGTTGCGAGACTGCGGGAGGGACTTTGGTGCCGGTTCGGACGTGGCTGAGCGTGAAGACTCGACCCCTGGCCTGAAGGCTCACAAATGCTCCGAGTGTGGGAAACGGTTCCATCAGATTTCCCACCTTAACAGGCACCTGAGAATCCACACCGGCGAGAAACCGTACAAGTGCCTGGACTGTGGGAAAAGTTTCACGCAGGGCTCTTGCCTGCTGGGTCACCAGAGGATCCACACGGGCGAGAAAGCGTATTCATGCTCGTACTGCGACAAAAGCTTTATTTGGAGCTCAGGGCTCCACCAGCACGAGAAGATCCATCTGGGCGAGAAACCTTACAAGTGCTTGGAGTGCGGGAAGAGCTTCCACCGGAGCTCCGCTCTCACCGACCACGTGAGGTCCCACACTGGGGAGAAGCCGTACACCTGCTCCGACTGCGGGAAAGGCTTCAGCCAGCACTCCAACCTCATTGTGCACCGGCGGGTCCACACTGGGGAGAAGCCGTACACCTGCTCTGTTTGCGGGAAAAGCTTCACCCGCACGGCGTTGCTCATGGCGCACCTCAGGATCCACACAGGAGAAAAACCCTACAAATGCTTGATCTGCGAGAGGAGCTTCAGGGAGAGGCCAGCTCTTACGAAACATAAGAAGGTCCACATGAGAGAGAATTTGTAGCGCGTCTGGACGTTTGGAGAAACCTCTGTGTTGGCTCTCCTTTCTGGGCATAAAGTAGCTTTTTGCATCCCTCGGCCGTTTCACACACGGCCACACCATCAAGTTAAAAGTGGTCTTACACCGCTTGAACAGCCGCGGATTCCCTCAAAGAATCCAGGGAACTGTAGTTTGTTAAGGGTGCAGGGAGTTGAAGCTCGGTGCCGGGAGTTGTTAGCTGTGTCCTGACACTCTCAGCACCCCATAACAAGCCGCAGTTCCCAGGATTCCTTGGAGGAAGCAGTGTAAGAGAGTTTTAAATGGGTGGTGTGGAATGTGACCTTAGAAACGGCTGATAGGTCAGAGCTGCTGTGATGTCATGGAATGGTTTCTGATCAGTCGGGGAACTGTCACTAATTGTACTTTGATAAGAGTGAAGGGAAGGGAAGAGTAAGGCCAACATAACTAGGTGGGGAAAACCAAGAAACCATCGGATGCTGGAAAAGAAGTTTTTGAGAGTTGTTTGTTGTTGTTTCGGGGGTAGGGGTGGGGCTTGAGGGGTGAAGAGCCAAAATGTGAGTGAAGCCAAACATGTGATGTCTGAACACTGAATTTCACATAATAGCTTTCAGCTCACCAGCTGCATCTTAATCTGTGGGTGCCATGTACAAAATATTTGACAGAAAGTGGTACCCAGCAAACTCGCACGCTGAAGAGAACAACCTCCTGGTGTTGGAAATCCCAGTGCAGAAGAGGCTGGCCTGCTCCTGAGTCCTTCTTGCCTGTTTTTTCCATTTACAGGGTTTTTCTTCCCTACTGATTATTTCCAGTGTTACAATTCTATCCAAACTCAGGGACTCTGAAGAGCTGCTCAGAAACACCTGTCACACAAAATAAAGTTGGGAGTGGTTGGTTGGTGTTGTTTTTTTGAGTGAGTAGAGGAAAGCAATTCATTTTGGAAATGTTTGTAAAGGGTTCAGGCATATTGCCGCTGCCTTTTAAGGATGCCATGCTGAATATTGAACCATGAAGGTTTGGTGGGGTGAAGAAACATACCTCTAGGTCAGTGATGGCTAAACTTGGCCCTCTAGCTATTTTGGGACTACAGTTCCCATCATCCCTGGCCACTGGTCCTGTTAGCGTGGGATGATGGGAGTTGTAGTCCCCAAACAGCTGAAGGGCCAAGTTTGGCCATCACTGCTCTAGGTGGATAGCTTGCAGTCAAAGGTTTTTTTTTATCAATACATCTATCACATGCACCTGATCCAGGATTGGTGTCCAGGATTGGCATTATTGGACACAAAGCCCACATCCTTGCAATAAGTCCCACTGCCAGCCCTCAGCTCCCTCCCTGCTGAGAACCTCCTGGTCATCTTCACGTCATCTTCAAACATGCCGGGCACATTCAAAATTTAGGAGATGGCTGCGGGTTTTAGTGCAGAAATAAGGAGCGGAGGGCCGATAGAGAGAGAAATGATTATACATAAAATGTGTGCATGGTTTGGAGAGAATGTCAGGAAACAGTATACCAGGCCACAGGATACCCCCGGCTGTTGTTTGTTCAGTAAAGGAGCAGAGTAGCGGAACATGGGATTCCAAAAAGACACAGCAGGCCGGAAAAACCATTAGTACAAGTTTACTGGTTTTTTACCGTTCAGTACCAGATCCCTGGCACGGCAATCTTGGCTTGTGTAGAGCAAAATCCAGTTTCTGCATAAAAATACACCACACAAATGCAAAAATGTAAAATGAACAGAGGAGTAGAGTGAAAGAATGAGAGAGAGAAAATGCTCCCGGTGGTCAATTGATACAGCTTATCCCGGGAGTGAACGGCCTTGGACAGAAATAACACAAGTCAGTGCACAAAACAACATCTGTGCTGTCTCCGCCTTCTAAAAGACCGGAGAACTTTTGAACATTAGAACGTACCAGAAGGCTTCTGTTAGTTTCTATACAGAGAGAACTTCTTTTTTCCCTTCTCGTAATACTAGAGCCCAGCGGGTTCATCCATTGAAGCCGAATGTCGGAAGAGTCCGAAGAGATTAATAATAATAATAATAATAATAATAATAATAATAATAATAATAATAGTTTATTACTTATACCCCACAGATTTGGCCGGGCCTCCCCACCTACTCTGGGTGGCTTCTAACAGGATATTGTTGTTTAGTCATTGAGTCGTGTTCGACTCTTCGTGACCCCATGGACCAGAGCTCGCCAGGCCCTCCTGTCTTCCACTGCCTCCCGCAGTTTGGTCAAACTCCTGCTGGTAGCTTCAAGAACACTGTCCAACCATCTCGTCCTCTGTCGTCCCCTTCTCCTTGTGCCCTCCATCTTTCCCAACATCGGGGTCTTTTCCAGGGAGTTTTCTCATGAGGTGGCCAAAGTATTGGAGCCTCAGCTTCAGGATCTGTCCTTCCAGTGAGCACTCAGGGCTGATTTCCTTCAGAATGGAGAGGTTTGATCTTCTTGCAGTCCATGGGACTCTCAAGAGTCTCCTCCAGCACCTTAATTCAAAAGCATCCATTCTTCGGCAATCAGCCTT